CAAATAATAAAAAAAATAGAAAACACCTGAAGTGATAGTTGTCCTTTTACATACATTTTACTCCTCTACAGTAGAGGAGTAAAAAACAAAACACTTTCTGGTGCAGTGGTCCCTGACTTTTGTATAATATGCAATTAAGACTTTCAAAATTGTATGCAAAATAAATATTTTATTTAGAAAGTTAAAGCATATAGCACAGAGGAGAATTAATCCCTATATTATTCTACTAAGCAATCCATAGTAGTCTCTGGCAATCTCCAAAAGTAAACCTCAGGCTCTTTGGATGACTGACTTGGCATCCTGAAAATGTCACTCCAGGGAATCTAAATTAACAAAAATAGCCCCCCATCGATGAATTATTGAATAAGATGCATTAATCAATGCTAAAAGAAAATATTTTGTTTTCTAAGCGTGACTGCATTCTAAGCAACACAGAAGCCCTTTTCCTCAGAAAGTAGAAAGTTAAACTCCTCCCCCGCCCCCCCCCAAAAAAAGGACTCTTTGTGACTAGATTAATGATGGTATGAATAAAATGAATAAACCAAATCTATAGACTGGAGACAGTCTGTGTGTGTACTCTGAGTGAAGTTAACATGTCTCTGCAGCAGGATGAAATATTTTAGAGCTGTGTTAAAACACGTCAGGACATACCTGTAGCGGGAATATTTTGACAGCTACGGTTTCGTGTAATAACTGCGCTTTCCACACGCAACCAAATCTCCCTCTTGCTTTGACTTCCAATAACTGCAGAGGCTTTAAGCCCAGTAGCGGGGACGGTGGTGGAGGGCCTGGATCCTAAAACAAAATGTAGACACACGTTTCATTAAGGACAGAAAACAACAAAAGTACAAATTGGTTTAAATAATCGTGACCGTGAACTACCAGTTTTCGTCATGCACATTTACTGAAGGCATTTCATGTTACAGAACCTGTGCAAATACATGGGACCTGGCATTACCCACTAATTTACTAGTAAGCAATGCAGCATGACCCATTGTGTGCCAGGCAAGTGAGTAATCACGAGACAGGCACATATTAATTAATGAACAGCAAATACAGTTTAAGTTCTGAAGTGACTGAATTTAATGGCAGCACACAGACTAGTCTTTTCAATGCCACTTGGTCATTTGAAGCTGGCCCTCAAACCGCTGTGGTTTGTGTATATCAATTCCTACAAAGTCCAGCTAACCAAGATGGTGGTGCTCCATGTGATATAACTGCCACGTCAAGGTTATACATCACTACACATGGCAGACTGCTTAGAACAATTTTAGGTCATTCTTAAAGGGGATCTTAAAAGAGGGATCTGCTGTAACTATATTTAGCCCTTTAAATGGTGTATGGGAGTGCAACACATGACATACAAATGTACAACACTCAACAACCAGATAAAGGGCTAAGTACACCAATAAACTCTTACAATAAATGCAGGCGCATTGCAAACATTACAAAAAAGCAAAAAAAAAAAAAAGCAAAAAAATACTCCCATAGTATTCCAAAGATCGCCATCTGGTTAGAAGGTGTGCATCTCTTAGAACAAGGCATTAGTTCTGCTGTTATTGACCTTGATTTATTATTGTTGAATATGCTTTTGAAATTACTAAATACATTTGGATAAACTTTTGAAATTATTTACTATGAAAAATATTTTAGCTTTGTAATATTTTGAGAATATATATGTATTGAGAAAATAATTTTAATACTTTATCCAAAAATATGAAATCATTTGAAAAGCTTGTCAAACAATATCAAATGGAGGTAATTGTGCCTACGGTTAGGTGCAGCAGTTACTTGTACACAGCAGCCAGTAAACTATTCCAGAGCAAGCACGCAGGCTGGCATGTGTTGGCATGTAATGACCAGTTATAAATGTAAGAATAAACGTGTCATGCATATTACTGGGAGGGGGAATTGATGCAGAAGATTACAAAAACTATGCTGTGTAAACAAGCAACATTGTATCTTACCTCTATCATAATGTGAAAGGCGTGCTTGTGAGGAAAAACACAGGCAAAATGAATTACTACTTGTGCTAACAGAATAAGAAATCTCATTCTAATGTCAAGACCTACAGACCTTCCACAATTATGTGGGTAAAATCAGACATATGGTGTACTTATTATTATAAAACACATTATGATCACTTAGAAATGTGCATTGTATTATGTTGAAATGAAAATAAATGTGGATTTTTAGAGTACAACAGGTGTTGTAGGAAATGTCCATTTTGGAACGAAAATACAGGATGCTTTGTTTAATATATATTGTACAGTGCTGTAGATTTTCTTATATTGTAATAAAATAGTTTGTTAAAGTTTACTTTACAGACAAAATAATATGCAATGAACAATCTGCACATGCAATATGGTACACTTTCAGGCAGTAGAGGTCACTGTTGTAAAAACTATTGCAGTACGTTTTGTGAACATTATGTATATATTTTTTTATATTAAAATTTTAAACTTGAGGAAACTAAATGAAAATTAAGCATTTCATTATCCGAGTCTTATCTCCCCCCCTTTTGTATAAGCAGATGCATTATCCCAAAGGTACGGTCTTCAGTATGAGGAACTGCAAGAAACCGTGCAGGGTAGCTCTACAACATACAGGTATATATCAAAGACAGATGTATAGCATAAATAAGCCAAAAGCGAGGTCTGTGAATTTGGTGGAAAACCTCCAGACTGTTCAGATTAAGGGGAATCAGGGAACATTTTGGTAATTATAGCAATGAGTAAAAGCCAAGCGAAACCAACATTATATAAGCACATACCAAGATGATAAATAACAACTGAAATGTCTGAAGAATGAGGGACATGTTACCATCACCTACAAGTGAGTGGATGACAAGGCTAGCCGTTGGCAAATTCTAAATCTGTTTTTTGCACTAGCAATGTTCCCAGATACAGGTTATATTTCTCTAACGTCTGAAACTGGTCTAACCAAGAATGTGTCCACTCGTCCAGTGCCAAGTACAGGATTTTGCAAAAAAGCACTACTGCATGAGCAACACTATAGGATACCACCGTGTGGGAACACCAGTATCCACAATGTACTGATAAAAGCATATGTTTTCTACTTCTATACAATTTAACATAATAGGTAGTTAAGCTTTAAAGTGGCCCTCTGATACAACTTTTTTTGGACATGCACTGCTGTTTTCTATTCTAGAAGTATGTAATTTAGCCTTGTGTATTCCGTTGGTGTCCACGGCCATCCAAAGACTTCTATTGTGTATTGGTATAAAAAGATCAGCATTTCTTTACACTCCGCACATGGACCTTAAGATCATGCAGCCAATAGAGAGAGGTGGTGATAATGTGGAAAGACAGAAAGCCAACTGGCATAAACTGTCTGGCTCAGCATCAAGACAACGGTCTAACAGCTGGGTGCTCAACGGTTAACGCCCTGGTATTGCAATAGTTAACCACTGCAGCCAATTTGTCTGTGAACTATATTTCCAATAATGCTCAGCTAGTCTAAAACCCGTTAGTGCTTCCTGAGAAATTTAACACAAACATCAGTTGTGCTAAGCCTAACACCACTGCTCTAGAATAAAATTCAAGTGGCATTTATGCAACAAAAACAAGCAAAACGCTGACCGTTGGCTGGGGTGCAGTGAGAAATACAGGATTCCTGGTAAGACACATGTACGCAAATTTTTCTGCCTTCTAGAAAACAAACACCTTAAGTAAATTGTGGTTCGTTCTTATCACATTCTCCTTATGTCACCTGATACTGGGAGGGCTGGTTGTAAAGAGAAATTCACTACAACACTTTCAATCACAAATCTTAGCTGGCAAGTTCCTGCCTCAAAGAATTCTAACATAACGTAGAATGTTCACAGTAAATGCCAGAGAATTCATTTCAGCTATAATTTGGACAGCATCGGGGAACTCATGTACACATTTAGACCAATATACATGTAATGAATGGAAGGTCTTGAACCTCTACATAAATGATCTTTTCCTAATCCATTTTTCTGCCATGCTCAGCAATTTCTCAGGATGACAACTACTGAAAATGGGATTAATGGTCTTCTGGCAACACACGCGCGTGCACACACACTTGAACTAGTGACTAGGATCAAAGCAGCTTTTGTTTACAATGAATAAAACCACATACACAGTTCTATAGTGTGTAGGTGGATCTACAGTATACTCGAACATTTATCAGTGGTTCAGCCGGACTGTATGGGTAAAATATAGCTGTTGGGTCCCTTTACGTATGATGGAGGAATGCTTTGCACCATTTGCAAACAGTGTGGTGGTGCGATTGTGGTTTGTCCCTTTTACATGCAAAAGTGTAAAGTAAAATCAAAAACCTTAGTGCCACATTTTAGTAAATAAAACAAAGGGGAATTTATGCCACTGAATAAAAACACCTTCATAAAAGTATGACATATGTTAACTTTAACACAATCTGGTGGAGAAAACAAAACCTAAAAAAGTCACACTCACATTACATCAACACCAAATAAAACTTTTCTTCTGAGACTATGCAATCCTATAGCAAAATGCCAGACAATCAATATTACCAGCATATAAACAATGAGCACCTAAAGAAAATCTACAGAAATTACAATGAAAAAACAAACAAAAAAAAAAAAAACTTGTTTTACAGATTGTTGTTTACAATATGTTGGTCTGAAGCAGCATACATTGTAAAATCAGTCTATACTACTAATATGGAGAGTGTGCATTCTCAGCAGAAGCACTTTTAGATTTACTGAAGTAGCAAATCGCTGATTAGCATAGCACACATTAACTGAATACCTGACGTATTTCATGATTCATTTTAATCCAAGAAACAAGCTATACGCGTTTCTTATCAAGCCAGATGCAGCAGAAACTGCTTTTAACATGACAATTCCCTTCAGCAAAATACAATACCTTTGGGAAATGACCTGTGGGTACTGGGCTATGGTTTACTCTACACATCAATTTAAAACTTAAAAAGATTTAATTCTTTAGAAAGCCTTACTTTTTTTTATTTACACTGATTTTGCAGGGTTTGCTAATTATTTAGGAAGAGGAGGTACTTATGTAGCTGTACAGACAAACATACCTGTGTAGGAACAAGCACCGGTGGATAGGCAAGCTTGTGATGTCGGTACATCCAAAAAGAAATAAGAACAATGATCGCAAAACCCATTATCGGCACCAATGAGTAAAGCAAGGTGTTGAATAAAGGCGGTTTTGGTGGAACAGGATTTGAGGTGGCTGTAAGACAAAAATACAATCCATCACAAAGGGCAAAGGAAAAACACTAAGGAAGTAAAACGTTTACTTTATGTAAAGCATTATTTTAGGTTTTCATTATATTGCATGTTCCCCTAATCAGAGACCAGCTTTAGCACTGTGATTAGGGCACTTCGTCTCCAATGGGCAGCTGCTGAGTATTTTGTGAAGACGTTTTAAACTACAGCTGGACAGTGCTCAATGTCTGCAGTACTTCTGACAGAGAACTAAAAGCTCTCAGTCTGAGTGAAGACCAGCAGGGAAGGGAAGTGTTTAGCTCATTGGCTGAGTTGCTCTTAGCCAATGAGCTAGCCCTGAAGAGCTAATGGAAACTCCTAAGCAAGAAGTTGGTCATGCAAACCACTTTATTTGGTTTTATTAGACTAGTCTAGAGAAACTTGTGGCCTTTTAATGCATTGTTCATATCCAATTACTGGATAACAGTTCATCTTTTCAAAGGTTAAAAGTCATAAGTCATAATATGATTTTAAACATGAAGGGTGCACTGTGAAAGAAGCAGTCATTTCTATATAACAGCAGACAGAAGAGCAGTTTCTACTTTTTTTTCACACACAAAACATGAAACGTGCATTCACACAAGCTTTTTGTCATTTTAGATCTTTGGTTTAAGCAGTGCCAGCCAAGTGTCTTTAATGGTTCATTAGCTGCCATAATGTTTGTGTTTTTTCCCTTTTCTTGTTTAATTAAAAACTTGTGCCAAACGCTGTGCCTTCTCCCTTCAGCTGAGGAGAATGCAGATGGCCTACAGAGTTACACGTTTCTTTTAGTAGGATAAAGGAAATCTTTTATGAATACCTAATTTCAAGTGCTTTCTGAATTTATTAACATATGTAACTCCACGTGAAAACTAGTCACAGCACTGGCTCATCCATGGTATACAAAGAAGACACGCGAAACGAGTGGGCCCTTTTATTCCATGTGCCAATTCTGTGGGGAGAGTTCTTCTAAAGTGGTTTTAGACAAAGTTTGTTATTTAAAGAAATTACATGTAGGTCCGGGTGCAAAATGCATAACTTGCTATGAGGCTTGGAGTGTTTAATGCTTTAAAAAATTCTCTTCTGAGATTACATAATTTAACCAACCGCTCATTCCACAGCAAGGTGTAACAGGTTACTCCAGTAACAAAGGAGGTGGCAATAAAACAGCAATGCTGATTATCTGTAGTAGTCACCTGATATTTTATAGTAAATGACTCATTAGGAAACAAAACCTTGCTTCAATAAAATGACAAAAATAAATCAAGATCTGGTACCAGTAAGAGGTGCACTCCACACAACTCCACCAGGACTTTGGCTATAGTTCTATAAGCCTTTGGGTGACTTTTTTTCTGAATGCATTTGTTCAGTTTCACAAAAAGTAGGCCTCTAACAGCATATAAAGCTCTGACCTTGGCCTGCCATTCAGATAAGTAATACAGAAGTGAATGTTCTGCATTATCTAAAGATAATTTGCCACTTAGAAAGCAAAAAAATAAGAAGGTGCATGTTTCTTATGAGAGGAAAGCTATGTCTGTCAGGTGTTTTGTGTACAACCTTGTAGCCCATTAAATGTCATGTGATGATCCAATGCATGGAGACACACAGACCAGGCATTTTAAACTATTAATTGAAAACATTGAGAATACTTACGCTGTGTAATCTCCATCTCTGGCAAGTGGATGAACTTTTCATTACATGCATTTCCTTCGCAGCAACAGAAAAAGACATCTGGATTCTCCTTTTTTTCGATGCATTCATTCCTGAGAGAGATCACAAAATAGTGGCATCAAACATAGGAAAATGCTTCCCACATCACAAAGTTTACAAGTGCAGATGATTTTGACCCTGGGTTGCACTCTCTAATCTAGACTACGCTTAAGGTGATCACAAGCTTATTTTCAGAGTATGTACTTCCTTAAAGAAGCAGTTTTTGAGTTCCTTATTTGCAACCGTTAAAGGCCTGAGGTCTTTACTATTTGGTACATTTGTTCAATGTAATGTCAAAATACAGCAATGTATGTATTCTTTCAAAACTGTAGCAGTTATGATTATTAGTTTCCCTTTAATAAATTACATGAATGTATAAAAAGTATCAGTTTAATCTTTTACACCAGCCTAGCTGAACCAGACTCTTGTCCTCCAAACCATATACCCAACGATAGAAAGAAAATTATTAAAAATAATGAAATGTGTACTGTGCAAACAGCTTTACAAAACAAGTAGCTAAAGCTGGTTATTGTCTGCTTTGCTTTCTGGTATACATGTGTTTAAACGAGTGAATTCCTATGTGAGTTTGTACACCAACACCTTAATGAGGACAAACTATTTCCCATCTGACCTACACCTTTACTTCCTATTACTACATTAATTCACACCTGTCATAACAGTTGATATCATCCAGCCAGCAACCTTGTTTGAGGATTTCTAGAGTTCCAGATACATTCTTCCACGTAGCAAAGCAATGCCGCCTTTTATCCGTATCACTGTAGCAGGTCTCAATGCCACTGCGGTTTGTCTTCTCCTTTTCCCAGCTTGCATTGTAATAAATGCATTTTTGGGTTTCAGATCTTCCAAGAATAGCTCCTGAATTTGAAAAAAATGTGAAATGTTTTCCATAAATTCAATTAAATAAATGGTTAAAAAAATTTTTTTTTTATATATTATATATACATACATATATACATATATACATATATATATATATATATATATTGTTAATGCAACTCTTCAGCATGAGGTTGGTTACTGGTTTGCTAATTGAGGCTTGGTAGTGCTTGGGAAGCAAAATCTAAATAGGTTTAAAATGGAATGAGGCAAAAATGTGATTCTTTGTTAAACTAATTTGCATATGCCCACCCAGAATCCTTTGCGGTTGTAACATCACTGCTGATTTGGGATTTCTGTGGGAAAAGCAAGTCTTATGGCTTGACTGGTGTGCAGATTTTTGTTTAGCATTGTATTAACTATCCACATACTTCAGGTGGAAGGGGTTTTCAATCACAATTTTTCCCCACCATAACCTATTTAGATTTTGATAGATAGAGATATATATATATATATATATATATATATATATATATATATATATATATATATATATATATATATATATATATATATATATATATATACATACATACATACATACATACACACACACACACAGGAGAAACTGACGGGGATATTGTGGGCCCTTTTTTTTTTAGTTATGCTGTAAATTGATCTCACAATAAAATAGCATATACAAATCTACTGTGAATTTAAGAGCAGCTATTAAACATTCATATTTACATATGCAGTTCCATTTTACACACGCCATAAACCTTGCCAGAATCTGATTCCCATTTCACTTCATACAAAATTTCCAAGACATGTCTGCTGAATGCTGCCTACTGTAAAACCAATCTTTTCTCTTAAAACCAGTAAAAGTCTATGTCATCATAAAAAGGTAATGCACAGGTTGTCTCCTTATGGGGTAAAAATAACTTTCAGGGTGTCACAGAGGAGGGAAAGGTTTAAGTAGATCTACATGAAAGCAATAAAATAGGCAAACTATTTAAAATACATCTGCTGTGACCATTATGCACTCGCACATGAGGTCTGAGGGATAGCGCACACATTTTGGTTCAGCACAAGCTGGCTCACTCAGCAAGTGTAAGGAAATCGGATATATGCTTTTTATTAGGTACACACACACACAAACCATTTAAAATGTGCCTGTTATAGAGTGAAAAGCAACTAAACTCTCTGGTATGGATGTGAATACTAGACAATCTCTGTTTATTCATTAATCCTCTTTATGTTGTATCGGCACATGGAATGAACAATTCCACGTTCTGGCTAGATGAGTGCAATGTGGAAAATGAAGTTTCAGGAGGCAGGAGAATAGAACACATCAATCATCAGCCTGTTCAGCAAGGAAGTAATGTTTACAGGCTGTGTGGGTTAAAGGAAGTGTTTAAATACTGGGTTAGGCTCAGCAGTAACGCCCTGTCACAGCAAATAACAGTGGGACTACACACAGCACAGTTTGTCCCATTTACTATTAAGAGTATAATTTTGTTGTAAAAGTTAGAGGTGGAGAATTTTGTAATCCTTGCCGGTTTAATAACACAAGTCACCTGGTTCACATAAAGATACAAATGTCAAATCCAGTTGAACTAGGTCATAGGATATTACAGGGCTGCACTGATAAGAAAATAATATAAGCCCTGTATTTCACTGAAACTAATTGAGTGAGAAATAAAAAAACCACAGGAAGAAAAAAAAAAACCTCCAAATTAAGTAGTTCTTGCATACCACGAAAGATTCTCCTGCTCACCTGTGAGTAGGTTCATATAATTAAAACCACAAATAAAGCTACCCAGGCAACCTAATAGATTGCATAATATCTTCATTTACTACTGTAAACTTAAAGCATGTCTGTGCTCCATTGAAAACAATAGCAAACTCAGGACATTTCCAGACAAACCAGAGTTCCTGATGTAGTGAATAAACATTTGACGTTTTTCTGTGTTCTCTCCAGAAGCCGCCAGACTTCCTGACTTTTCACACCACTGTGCGAATAGGTTTCCTTCTTTCTATTTGCCATGTTTAGCTCAGACTATAGAGATCACTCTAGATAGATAATCCCTGCCCCAGAACAATTTAAATCAGATGAAGTTGGTCCTTTAAATTAAAGGACCACTCTAGGCACCCAGACCACTTCAGCTTAATGAAGTGGTATGGGTGCCAGGTCCCTCTAGGATTAACCCTTTTTTTTTAAATAAACTTAGCAGTTTCAGAGAAACTGCTATGTTTATAATAGGGTTAATCCAGCCTCCAAAGCCTCTAGTGGCTGTCTCATTGACATTGTAAATGCTTTCCTAGGAGACCAGCGCTGGAGAAAAGGTAAGTTTAACCCCTTTCCACTCCCCAGAGCCCGGCGGGAGCAGTACCCTGGGTGTGGGGGCAACCTCAGGGCACTATAGTGCCAGGAAAACAAGTATGTTTTCCTGGCACTGTAGTGGTCCTTTAAAATAAAGGGCAGCTATGAAAATTTGCAAAACAAAAACTTTTAATTTATTTCTATTTTGAGATGGGGCCTTTCTTCACAGCTGCACTTTGCAACTTGCCTTGGGATAGATATCTTTGTACAATTTAAGCCAGATTCGTTTTTAAGAACTGACTGACAGCGCATGCACCAAGCCAAGTCCTCTCCCTGTTCTACCCCATAGCAAGAGTAGAGACCTTCCTAAAAATATAAAAAAGGGAGGTGTGAGTGATAATGCTGCCACCTCTCCCACCCCATCCTTTTTGATAGAGGTTTATGTACAGACTTTTTTTTTTTTTTTTTTTTAAACTTATTTTGCACTGATATATGGCTGTGTGAGAACAGCAATATATCAGCACAATGTTCTCAAAAACAACTTGGATTTGCGCAGAGAGAGAGAGAGAACACAAAAATTAATCATGTACACAGGATCGATTGTTCATATATTTTAAACAAAGTGGCAAAATCATTGTAAATACCCAGCTGTATAAGGTGCCACATTTATTTTGGAAGGTTTCCAGCAAGATAGTTTATAAGATCAAAGAATTGTATAAAGGAATGTTCTTGATAGTCTTCCGACACTTAGGCAGAGTGTCCCAACTTGGGCTCTTTGGGGCCAGTATTGGGACACATTTTTAGGTTATTTTAACAATTTACATAGAATATAAAGATATCACAGTACATTTATAAAAATTTTCACGAGGGTGTTCTATTAATCTTTCCTTGAAAAGGCAGACTGATGTTTATATATGTATACGAAAAGTTAATGTTCACTGCTACAAACAACTGCTAACTAGGACATACTTGAAAACGAGAGAAATCTCAATGTATCTTTCCTGGTAAAATATTTTATAAATAAATGAATGAAAGAGTTATTTTTGTAAACTCTGGTCTCCACAGAAATATTGGTAGATAGACCCTGGTCTTTCAATTCTGAAAAATAACAATTGGCTAGTCCTCATAACTCACAGAGCTAGCAAACAAGAAATTCAGAAGGCCAACGGTACGCGCTGCAGTTTAAGTAAGCACAGATAATGAAAAAAAAAAAACCATAATATAACAATTATTTTCCATTTACAATGTAATGCAGGAGACTTGCGTTAAAATGAATGAGGAATTTGCCCAGCACACCAACTCAGGACATGCTCTGTTGCAACATCTACTAAAGGGACACTATAGTCACCAGAACAACTAAAGCTTAATGTAGTTGTTCTGGTGAGTAGAATCATCCCCTCTTTTTGCAGTAAAAACAGTCTTTTCAGAGAAAAGCCTAGGGACACCTCCAGTGGTATAAACCAATAACAGTTTAGCTGAACGACCTGAGATCAAAAGGGTGTGATCGAAAAACTTGCAGAGTGCTTTGACTCATTTAGTCAGACCCCAAAGAAGCAGGACTGATCTAGGTCTTGAGTTGTAGACCTCCTGCTTCAAATTTTAACATCCAACCTACATATTATATAATACATTTTTATAGTTTTTTATTTTAAATATAGGAATAATTTGAACCCAAGACCGAGGTGAATAAGGAGAGAGAGGAAGGAGTAAATATCCTACAGAGGATAAGGGGTGTGGAGAGAAAACGGATTGAGAGACTACATGAAAATACAAGGAAAGAAATGAAGGGACAAGTGAATGGGAGGGGGAGATTAGGATATAGAGGAATGAAATTAAGTGCACAAAACAAATCTGGAAATGTAGAAAGCGAACACTGGTGGAGAGGTAGAATGGATAAGAAACAAGTGTTTATAAGGAAAACCAGGGTAAACTGTGGGGGACCTGGTAGAGAGAAGGACTGACAGTATTAAAGACCAGAAAAAGAGACAGATAATTGTATAAAGAGACAACACAGGGCTAAATGGACACAAGATTAAAAGAAAAAAATAGACTTGGAGATAGGAGCAGGCGAAAAACTGGCAAACTAAACTGATTGGAGAGAGAGTGGGAAATGTAAGTTAACACATTTATAGCAAACAATCCATATATTTAGTAATTTTCCCTTTAAGGCTTAACCAATATAAACACAAACTGGCTGCTTCAGTTACAGAACAAGAAGCTGCTTTGTGTAAATTCCTGGAAAGTCACGGTATCTAAACTAGGATCAGATTCACTGAAGTTCCAGCTTAACAGAGAATCATAAAGCAGTCTATACAGAAATACAAGGACTAGCAAATACTGGCCCTCCAGCTGTCAGTGTACTACAACCCCCACAAAGCTTTGAAAATAACAAGCAAAAGAGAATGTTAGTAAGAGTAATGGTAATATCTGGAGGTATGCTGGGTGACTAGACATGGCAGTAACAAGAAGATGACCACTAATAAATAAATCACAGTTGTGCAGATAAAGTAATAAAAAAGGCAGCATTTTAGATCACAGCAGGAGGCGTATACAAAATGACTTGCAGATAAGAATCTTGACCTATACTATTTCTTCCCCCTCACTTCTATTGTGACGAAAACCAACTCAAGCACAAAACTAAGAGGAGAGCTGAAAAGGGCAAGATCTTGAGGCCAAATGACAGAACATCTATAACACAGATTACTGGTGAAAGCACATAAATGAGTTTTTGAAACTTTAAAGATAAAACTACCTACTGCTAAATTCCTCTAGGTACATTAAATTCTAAACAATATATAGCTTAATACCATGATGTTTATTGAAGCCATTAAAGGACCACTATAGTGCCAGGAAAACATACTCGTTTTCCTGGCACTATAGTGCCCTGAGGGTGCCCCCACCCTCAGGGTCCCCCTCCCACCCGGCTCTGGAAGGGGGAAAGGGGTTTAAACTTACCTTTTTCCAGCGCTGGGCGGGGAGCTCTCTGCCTCCTCTCCTCCTTCTGGGCTGAATGCGCACGCGCGGCAAGAGCTGCGCGCGCATTCAGCCCGTCACATAGGAAAGCATTTACAATGCTTTCCTATGGACGCTTGCGTGCTCTCACTGTGAAAATCACAGTGAGAATCACGCAAGCGCCTCTAGTGGCCGTCAATGAGACAGCCACTAGAGGATTAGGGGGAAGGCTTAACCCATTCATAAACATAGCAGTTTCTCTGAAACTATGTTTATAAAAAAATGGGTTAACCCTAGAAGGACTTGGCACCCAGACCACTTCATTAAGCTGAAGTGGTCTAGGTGCCTAGAGTGGTCCTTTAAAGAAAATTGGATTAAAACTTTCACACAAAGCTAAAATGCTTTTCACTGGCTTCCTGTTGCAAAAAAAAGGGGATCTACTGATCTATTTTTTCCTTTTTTGTACATGATATAGATATATATATATTTACAGTAATCGTGTATTTACCAGTTCAGGTTAAACAGGTTTTTGTTCTGCACTACATAATATTATAAGCAGCAAAGGAAACAAATCTCTCTTTCCCCTGGTCTGTGTGGGTCTGAAAGCATGTAGCAGCTTGGTGCTGTTCTTAAAGAAGCCATAAACAGGTAGAATAAAATGGTGTACCTTTAAGAACTGCTGTACTACACCAGGACATTGTAAATATGACAAAAATATGAAGTAGAGATTAAAAGAGCAAACAGATTTTTAAACAGTCTTTATTTCTCTTTCCAGTTTCACCCACAAGGATACACTAACTTACTGTATCTACTCTCTTAGAGAGTTCCTTTAGTTATACTGTATATCCCCTCTGTCTGTAAATATACCTACGATTACACATTAATGTTCTGGATAATAGCACTATACAAAATGTTAAAAGACAACTGGCACCAAGCAACACTGATAGCCACATATCCCACTTCACTCAGAACCAGAATCATTTTGCAGATTAAAATTAATATTTTTGTACAAGATGCTGAATATAACAGCAGACCATTTTTTAGCACAATGTACCAAACATGAATATTCTCAAATAAGGTGTTTTAAAAGCGGTTCTTTTTATTTTTTTAATATTTGCTCAACAAAGAATTAAGGTAACATGGCAATGTTATTGCAACATTAAGGCAAAATCTGTGCATTGCTTGCTGGACAATTAAACATTGCTAGAGGTGAAAGTGTGCATTTTTAGCATTTATTAAGCTGTGAAAACATTAAGGTAAAGTACACTAAGAGGAGAAATATCTCATGACGGTTTTCCCCAAGTGTCTGCAAACCTTAAACTCCTCCTGACTTGCATGTTGCCCATTCAAGAGCGGAGGTCAAAGACCAGTTAAATGGTTATAAATTATTGTTAATAGCCAGAAATGCCAACAATGATGTAAATAAATGCACATTCAAACGCACAACATTCAGTACAAAAGGTGTGTGGAATGCTGTGGACACCGTAATCAGTAATCATATACCCATACTAGTGAAGAAAACGATACCCCTTCTTCTGGTCCTAAATTCCATATTTTATTGCACCAAACAAAACCAACATTCCAACAGCATAATCTTTTGCAATAGTTAAACATAGAAGTCTGCCAAGCATCTGCCTAGCACAATGAGAGAGTATCTTTTAAAAAAATTTTTTTTTTTTTTTTAAATGGATCATTGCTATTTCTAAGGAGGACAAACTTCACATGCAGAGTGAGGGGGAAAAAAGGTAATCAACCCATACATCTACTGGTATGTACAAATGTATGCATTTGGAACAAGACTTTGCCAATTGAACAAAACAGATCTTGAAGCACAGAAGAGTTTTCACAAAAAACAGCATACAAAGTTAAAAACTGCGGAGATTTAATTCTACAGATGCGCCTCTGCTAAAGGGAAGGCAACAAACCATAACTTATGGTTAAATAAAAAAAATAAAATAAAGAGCTGTATCTCATACATTTGAACTTTTTTTAAACCTCTATAACCAATTGTATAGGATTTTAACAAATTGAAAAACAATTTGACAAGAAGACATTTATATCTTCATATACGCATTCTCTGCAGATTAAACAATGCCTATTTAATTCCCCTACTTTAACCCTTTGTGTCACTATACCGCACTCCATCTAGCATGTAAGCTCATCGAGCAGGGCCCTCAACCCCCTCTGTTCCTGTACGTCAGTGGTCTGATCTCAATTATGTGTCTGTTAGTCCACCCATTGTACAGCGCTACGGAATTTGTTGGCGCTATATAAATAATAAAATAATAATAATAATAATAATATTCCGAGTAACCTGCTTACATTTGAATGCAGTCAACCAGGGGCCGGTACTCTTTAGTGTAAAGCTATAGTTGGGTCAAACACAGTTTGGCTGTACGGATGGACAGAAGAACGCATAATCTTTACACACATCAAGATACACCGTACCACTCTCCTCTTCACACAAGTTACATTGGACACAATCTTATACATATTGCGCATACATGATCCTATACATAAAATACATTGGACACGGTTTCTGATTATTCCCTCATCTCCATGAAGTGTGTATAATCTAGATATATATATATATATATATCTATCTATCTATCACAGTGAACACTTTGAGAAAGGCTTGTTGAAGGTAAAACAGGTTAGCATTTGTACTTATTGTATTGCCTTCACTATTGCATTTTATTTCTAACATATACTTAAATAACTATATAATTATATTATATACTTAATTAAAAATAAAAATAAAAAAAATAGCTGGACACACCTATTCCTTTGGTGTGGAACATACCACCTGAGCCCTGTAGAATGAGCAAATCTCTATTTTGCTCCCCAGCAGTGAGTACCTCTAGACTGTAAGCTTGTTTGAGCAGCTTCCTCATCAACCTATTGTTCCCGTAAGTTTTGTTAAATCTCCCCCGCTTATTATATTGTAAAGCACTACGGAATATGTCGGCGCTATATAAATGCAGATAAATATTTGAAATTTGTCTATAGAATACAATGAGCAGTATAATTATGTATTTTTATCCACATAATTCACTACGACACCTTCCACCAGCTAACATGATACTGAAGTGGTGATTATACCACTATATGTTGCTTTCTGAGAGCAATCTGGAGGCTCTATGAATTGTGAGTGTATTTATTAATTTGCTAATACTCTACCTCAATATCAAGATATATTGCACTAGACTTTGATTTTCTTCTGATTCTTTTACATACTCCTTAGAGCACTTCCTACTGGATTAAAAGAACACACCAAATATCCCCAGGAGGGGATTGTACCGCCTACGCATATTCAAGTAAAGCTACCTTAAGCTCTACATACTGTAAGTGCATTTCCTTTTTTCTTCCACCCATTATCAAAAATAAGGCATTATATTTTGTTTTTCTTTTTGCATATCTACTAACATCTTGAAATTCCTCCCACTATATACATTTCTCATTATACTGGAAAAGAGACACTGGCTCAGGCTGTCTGAGCTGCCTTTAACACTCAACTGTATGAGCTAGAAACACATCACCGCTATACTGGAAAACTGTCATGGAACAGATATCCCAATGCACAAACTCAAACTTCTATGAAGCTTTTCATAGCCCACTAGATCTTTCCTAAAACCCAGTTTTGCACTCTTGTGAGCAAGTACAAATGAGACAGTTTCTAGTAGATAGCTGTGTGTTTGTAGGCCCTTTTCTACTTTTTTTGGATGCTTTTCCGCTAAAGACCCCACACATGAAAGCAGTTTAAACTCACCCCCACAGAGTTTGGCCTGCATGTATGTTGTGTACAGCAGAGACGTCAAGAGAAGAGGGAAAGGGAGGGAGGAATCCACCATACCAGATTTTGCAGCACAACTACCACTTATCCCATCAACCAGGCAAAAACATAGGACAGACAGAAGTTGTTTGCATGTGTTTAAATGGCAATTGCTTTTGCAGTGCATTTAATGTAAACTGACATTATCAGCATGAGGCCTATTAAAAAAAAAAAAATAAGCAAACACCGCTCAGGGGTGGGGACCAGGGAGGAGGACAGTAGGTGTCCACCCACCCGGGGGACAGTAGGTGTCCCCCCACCGTTCTTATATAGGGCCCCCACCCACCACTCATGGGTGGGGGCCAGGGGGGGGGGGATTTCAGTAGGTCCCCCCACCATTCTTATATGGGGTCCTCACTCACCGCTCAGTGTTGGGGCCTGGGGGTAGGACAGTAGGCCCCAACACTGAGCGGTGGGTGTCCTCCCCCCAGGCCCCAACACTGAGCGGTGGGTGAGGACCCCATATAAGAATGGTGGGGAGACCTACTGAAATCCCCCCCCCCGGCCCCCACCCATGAATGGTGGGGGGGGGACACACCTACTGTCGTCGTCCCCGAGCGGTGGGTGGACACCTACTGTCCTCCTCCCTGATCCCCACCCCTGAGCGGTGGGTGGGAGCCCTAAAAAACAATAAGGGGGGACCTACTGTCCTCCCCCCCCGAGCGGTGTGTGGGGGCCCTAAAAACAATAAGGGGTGGGGCCCCTAAAAAAAATAAAAATTCACCCCCCGCCCAATCAAGATGACTACGGGTCCCAAGCCACTAGTCACCCCCCCCAAATAAAACTATCCCCTACCATTTAGGGCCCCTACCCGTCGCCCATGGGTGGGGGCCGGGGGGAGGACATTGTTTTTTTATAACAGTTCACTGTTTAATAGACATGCCGTGAGTAGGGGCAGAATTTACTAATACTAAGTAATCTTTACTTAGTATTAGTAAATTTTGCTGAAAGACCAATTTAGGTCTTTCAGCATTTTAGTAGATAACTCCCTGATACCGTGGGAATTAGGGATTTATCTACTAAGCGACTGCAGCCACAGCACGAATAGGATCGGAATTTAATTCATTCGAATGAAATTGCGAGCCGAACAAAGTCCCGAATTGCATCCTAAAATGAATGGAGAAACCGCTCTCATTCTGTTAGATGCAATTCGGCAGGTTTGTCGGCGTTCTGTCTAAGTGACAGGACGTTCGGCAATACTGACAGGAAGCATCGTGGGAACAGGGAGGAAAGCCGCTGGTCAAAGCTGGTCAAGCGGAGGAAACCTCCATAAAGCAAAGAGTCCCTACTTTGTCTTTTGATTTTAAAGAAAACTAAAGAAGACAGGAAGAAAAGATGAACAGATCCCGAGAGAGGGGGAGAAGAGGAAGAGGAAAGGTAAGTTCGTCATGACAGTGCCGCTTTAACAATTGAGTTAACCATTAGAGAACCAGACATGAAATATGGAGTCAATCACTCTTGCACCTCAAGGAAATAGCAGAATAATCTATGTATTACCCAATTTAACCTGGTAGCTGCTAGGCCATTTTAAACCCCTGTGCCACAATAGACTTATGCTTTAACTGCATTAAACACAAACAGATCATGATCACTTTTAGGAAACAACCTTTACTTAAAAAACAAGGGGGATGGGTTAAATCTAAATTTGCACTATGACACCATTTGTATTCCTAATGCTACAGAGTTCCTGTAATCAGTATAAAGGAGAAAGAAGTGGTTGCAATTCAGTCTCATAATAAAGAGAGAAAGGTAGGATTGCAGCAGACAAGACTATTGTCATATGTATTCTACAAGTACTGCAAGTGAGAAGAGAGAGTCGTGACTGAAGAGGTTAACAACGATTAGAACATCTTTTAACACAGCAAATTTTAGATGGATTTTTTTAGAAAAGCAATGTGATTTTACACATCCATTTGGGAAGGAAGAGACTGAATGGTCAAGTAATGATACACAGAAGCAATGAGCTTGTGACAGTCTCAATCTGTGCTTAAAATGGTGGTTTGCAAAAGAACATGTAGCTAAAAAGCAACGACCGTACAACCAAGACAGTACAACCAAAACGTCACAATGATCTTCTGTACTGCAACTCTGCTGGGGTGAGCAGGGTAATTCTACCAAGAAGCAGCAATTTATCCACTGTAAGATGCAGCCTGAGCAACAATTACTACAGCCTAATAGACTCTGGGCACGGTCTCCTGTTTCTGTGTGAGAGTGCTTTTGGGGTAACCCAGCAAAGCTCTCTTGCTTTTACTACCAACACAAGATTTACAAGTTAGCAATATTAAGTCTATCCAAATCTTAAGTAGTGACATGTTAAACATGTCCGTCCATGACATCAGTTCAAAAACAAGATTTAAAAAAAACCAAATGCCATCCATGGCAATATTGTGAATTAATTCTACCATTCAATGGCGAAGTCCATGAATTAGTTGGGATACCATTACCCTCCAGATTGGATTTAGAATTACAGATTCCGGGACTCAGACACCTAGAGAGCACCTGAGAGGTATTTTGTTCTGCTACATATTTTCTAAGGTGGCAAATCCAGTCTTGAGTGTTCTGTTCAAGTGACTATGCCACATCCAGATTACACAAGAACACTTTGGTGGCAACACTTAAGGTATACATTGTGTTAATAACAGTACAGATCAAGGGCAGTGAGACGCCGAGGGGGACTCCTATTATGCTGAGCTCATGTGCATAGCAGCCACTGTTGAAATGCAGAGTAATGCTTTGGATAGAGTAACAAATAGGAAGCAAGTTCCAAGGTAATTATTAAATAAAATCTATACTTGTCCTGATTATCTTTCCAAAAGGGTGCATTTTACCATTTTGCAATAAAACGTTAAATGAGTCACACATTAATGAATAACCATAAAAGTGTAACTGACATGCTGTTAGCTGCCACTGAAGTGATGTAGAAACCTTCTGGGTAGATAAAAGGGTTAATAAGGGGATATAGTTCCTAATGACGCCACACTTGCTATGATCAGTATGCTGTGTAGTCACAGGCTAAACAGATACAAGTTCAGAGAAGTGTACGCTATATCATCAGCACACTTTCAAAAGGATAAGATATCTGAAACAAAGTATCCTTTTATTGCCATTAGCCATTAGAAATCGTGCTGCATCTAGGTCTTAAAATCTGTCTCTTTAAAATTAAATTCTGCCGGTACAATCCATGTTTCGCCAGGACTTGGTGGATTTGCATTCAACACTAAAGGTCAGTATGTGCCAACTAAGGGGCACACATTTTACACCACTTTCACATGTTAAGTCAAGGCTGGAAAGGTAAATATTGGAAAAAGTGCAATCTTGCAATCTCTATTTACTGTGAAATTGTAGTCCTTTGTTAATTTTCCAACATGGTTAACTTACTTTAAAGTTTACAAAATGGGGAAATATGAACGCACTGACAAAAATACAGAAAGGGGGTGGATATGAAATGACAGCTATGTACCAATGGACAAAGAATGAATTGCTAAACTAACAGAGCTTACAGTGGCATTTTAATGTGTGTCACGTCCATTTTCTTTTTAGTAGATATACCGTATTTTTCGCTCCATAAGACGCACCTCACCATAAGACGCACCTAGTTTTTAGAGGAGGAAACCCAGAAAAAAAAATATTCTGAACAAACTGTTCCATAGTGTTTCTTACCATGGGACAGTTTGTTCAGAATATTTTTTTTTCTCCCCTGTCCCATAATGATCTTTAACCCCCCTTTCCTCTGTCCCATAGTGATTGTTAACCCCTCCTACCCTGTCCCATAGTGATTGTTAACCCCTCCTACCCTGTCCCATAGTGTTCTTTAACCCCTCCTCCCCTTGTCCATTAGTGTTCTGATCCCATAGTGTCCCCCCCTCCCATTGTCCCATAGTGCACTTTCCCTCCCATAGTGTCCCCCCCTCCCCTTGTCCCATAGTGTCCCCCCTCCCCTTGTCCCATAGTGTCCCCCCCTCCCCTTGTCCCATAGTGTCTCCCCTCCCTTTCTCCCATAGTGTCCCCCCTCCCCTTCTCCCATAGTGTCTCCCCTCCTTTCTCCCATAGTGTCCCCTCCCTTTCTCCCATAGTGTCCCCCTCCCCTCCCATAGTGTCTCCCCCCCTCCCCTTGTCCCATAGTGTCTCCTCCCCTCCCTTGTCCCATAGTGTCTCCTCCCCTCCCCTTGTCCCATAGTGTCTCCCCTCCCTTCTCCCTCCTTTCTCCCATAGTGTCCCCCTCCCCTTGTCCCATAGTGTCTCCCCCCTCCCCTTGTCCCATAGTGTCTCCTCCCCTCCCCTTCTCCCATAGTGTCTCCCCTCCCTTTCTCCCATAGTGTCCCCCTCCCCTTGTCCCATAGTGTCTCCTCCCCTCCCCTTGTCCCATAATTACTTACCTGTCTTGGAGCGTGGGCCGGCTTCACAGCGCGCTCCGCGGTCCAGGAACTAATATTTCGGGTTCCGGTTTCCGGCGGGACTGAAAGGAAGTGTGCACACTCAGTGTGCACACTTCCTTTCAGTCCCGCCGGAAACCGGAACCTGAAATAGAAGTTCCTGGACCGCGGAGCGCGCTGTGAAGCCGGCCCACGCTCCAAGACAGGTAAGTAATTCTTCACATTCGTTCCATAAGACGCACAGACATTTCCCCTCACTTTTGAGGGGAAAAAAAGTGCGTCTTATGGAGCGAAAAATACGGTATGTAAACTGAGCTAGATACGTAGAATACACTAAGTGAAAGAAGTAAAGATTAACATACTAAGAGTTCATTACTTATTAGGTCCATACGGTTGTACCGGAGAACATGAAAGTAATTCAGGCAAGATGGGAAAATTGATTTTCTTCACTTGTGATGATCTACAGTTCAAATACATAACGGGATTCCAACACAGAGGGGTTAATACCACCAGGTTGGGAAGGGTGAGAAGCATTACTGCGCTACTGAAATACCCTGCTGTGGTAAGAAAGACAAAGCAAAAAACATGCTTAAATTAAAATGGCACACAAAGATGCAATCTTATATGTTTAAATCAAGGATCAAAGCTGGGGGAGAATGCAGACACACAGTCTAGACTTTTGTCTACTGCAGAAAGCCTCTGAAGCATAGAAGAACACCATCTGCATATCACATTAAACACACTCAGGACACACACTTATCACGGCAAGCCAAGATGCCACTTTTACCTGAACTCTCAGGCACACACTGCACTCAAAGACCAATGGAAAGAACAAGACTGTGAACGTGAAATGTGTAAAAGTCACCTAAAAATTTTCTAAAACAAACATATCTTCAAACTTTGCATGAAATTCGGAATATGCATGTGATCCATTGAATGAACATGGAAAGCTCTCTTGACATCAGACATGAAGGAGCCACTTGTGAAAAGCAGATGGCAAAAGGCAAACATAAATGGAAAGGACTAAATTCAGTCTATATTCAGAAGAGAATGTACAGCGGAAGGACTTGCTATAACAGAATAGGGCATGATCGTGAAAAATAACAGTTATTTACTATATTATCTGCCCTTATTTACTTCTTAAAGAGCACCTGTAATTCTCAAAAATAATTTTGCTCTTTTTAAAGAGCATCACATTTCATCTACACATTGTGCTAGCAGTTTTGCTGTCAAATGTATAAATTGGGAGCAAAAACATTTTAAAAAAGGTTTTTCTCCCACCTGTAAATTAATTCTTCGGCAGAGACTATGCCGAAGGAGGATTGATCAGGAGACGAGAAGAGGCCTTGCACAGGAGGTCCTTCCTCTCTCCAGGCATAACAACCGCAGGGCACGCAATTTGGTTCCCACGGAATCTCCCTAGCCAACGCTACTAGCAAGGGAGAATATAAACCGTTAACATGACTCCGCTGAGACGCCAGATTTCTGGCATTGAAGCTAGCATGTAGGCATCAAAATTGGTTGCCCTGGAGGCATCCACAACTCTAAGAACAATGCAGCAGGGTACTGGAGGGTAAGACTAGTTGTAGTAGGATCCATGTAAAAGGTATGAGAGGTAGTAGGCAATCACTGGCAATAAAAGTAAATGCTCAGTGTAGCCTAATGTATCCGCAATGCTGAAAGCAAAAATTTTAAATCTAACAAATGTGCATAACTTAACAAAGGCCTGGATTTAGTATTTTTTGTATAAGGCTTTCAAATTATTTAAAATTTTTGGATAAACCGTAAAAAGCATTTAAAAGAAAAAAAAATTCTTCAAAATATGAAATCATTTGAAAAGCTTATCCAATTATTAAAACCGAGGACATGGGGGCGGGGCCAAGCACCCGCATAGAGTAGACGCCATTTTATACTGCTCCGGGCCCTACATTCTGAATCCTACAATAATCGACCAAATTAATCTACATCAGCCTCTAGCAGTACTACCCAAAGCTGGGTGAAAACCCATGGTGCGCATACATGCCTTTCTTCTGTGGAAAGCAAGCTAAATCGCCAGGCAAAAAGCGGAGGACACACAAGCCCAGCAACCTGTTGTTTCCTGGGAGGCATGCAGAGTTTCTGGATGACAGATCCCTACCCCTCACACCTAACACGGTACATACCTCAGCTGAGATGGGGCGCACGAAACCGAAGACTCTGGGCGCACCAACCTCCGGGACGAAAGACACCGGCAAATTACTTACAGGCACTCAGATCCCGAAGCGGGCGGACGGGGAGGCCAGTCCATCTCGAGAACGGCCTACCAAGCCAGTCCCTTCAGGCCCAAATAAACCAGCAGCAGCATCAAACTCAGCACCCTCCATGAAATAAGACATAGCAGACCTCTTAGATCGAATCCGCACACTGTTTGATGCGGACATAGCGCTTGCAAAGGAAGATGTGCATGCCGTCACGGAGAGGGTATGCACCACAGAGGAGGAGATGAAGAGCCTCAAGCACTACAGGTCTCGCAGGCCACCACCAGCCATAAAGTGGAAGCCATAGACAGAGGCCCGCAGCCTCCCCCAGGGATGTAATTGTGCAATTTCAATCTTTTGCTGAGAAGCAAAATTTCACACAAGCACAAGCCCTATTTGAGTCGCACCAATTAACTTTCTACCAGAATCTCACCCGATCTACCTTGCAATGGCGCTCGACCATGCGGCCTATAGCCCGGAGGCTACAAGACATGAATATACCATAACGGTGGACCACTCCAAGCTTAAACCGTGCAGAGGCAGAGAAAACCCACAGGATCACATCGCCAGAGGAGGCAACTAAATTCATGACAGCACTCTTCTTGGCAAAACCACAGAGCGGGACCCAGAGGCCTTCACAAACACCCCGTTGGGACATACCAAACCATCAGGCCATTCGTTCCCTCTGGGACCTGGGACTCTGTGACCTAACTGGTCTAGAGAACCCTTTGGCACCCATGGTCCTAGGGCTAGGATTAGTCCAGTTATACAGTAGTTTAGTTATGATTTATGAAGTTTGCTTCGTCTTCTTACTTACCACATTCCCCGATGCCGGGAAAATACCCTCACCACATAGGTAGATAAGCGGAGGAGAGTTGTAAACGTGTACTCTCAGGACAACATTAAACACCCCCTGTGCCCACAGCCCCCCTCGATGAGGGGCAAAAGTATAAGCTAAGAGCTCCACTGGACCTACACAGCCCAACTTCCCGCAATATAGAATGGTCGGCACATAGACCACCCTCAGACACACTTAGCCCAGACCAACCACCCTAACAAGACCAGCAATCTGACCAGGTGTATTCTGAGGAATAGACAAATAATCAGAGCTCAAACAGACGCGAACAGCGACAAAATCCACGTTAATACAACCTATAACGACCCGACTAGATGTATATTGTATAATATAAAATAGTGCTGACACTTGGACTACCATGTTGAATGTTTTTTGTTTTTTATTACAATAGCCTGACAATACTGTTGTGGTAAGTCTGGCATGCCTGTTATATTGTTTCGACAGCACAATAAAAATAAAGAATTAAAAAAAATAAATAAAATAAAACGAGGACAAAGTTCACTATTCGTAGCCTTTATTTTATAATTTTCATTGTATGCCTCTCTACCCAGGCACATCCAGTATAACCCAAAAGTGCCATTCTAGCATACTGTCCTTTTGCATAAATACCCAAGGGAGCATGCCTTATACCATTATTCTGCAGATCCAGTGCTTGCATAGGCTACAGACAGGAGATATACCTCCAATAAAGAAAAGTAGCAATAAATGCATGCATGTTTTCAAGGAGGATATATCAGCTAAGGTGTTTAAAAAAAATTAAATAAAAATTCCATTAGTGTTCTTTCAAACCTGCACTACTCCTCTCAGTTAATGCCTCAACAATATTTACAGGGGGCAGGGGTTGGAAGCTGTCACTTGTAGAGAGGTAACTCCTCTTCCAATCTTTATTCAGCCTTACAAATACTCTTGACAAAACAAATATTTAGTCGACTTCAAGAAACGCCACTTATTCCTGGATTATTTTAAGTGCATTCATACAGCTTACACAGAATAATGGTTGAAAGCACAAACAGTCCTGTAACGTTACCGGTGTGTTGACACAGTATTGTTGTAAGAATTATTTGCGGCCCTTTCACTAGCCTTTAGTTCAAGGTTTGACAAATCTAAGTTGCCATGGCAGTAAAAAAAATAGGATGTGACACCCAAAAGTTCTCTACTCCGTTAGGCTGAAAACATCTTCCTGAACCAGCTCCCAACACACCAACTTCCCAGTTTTGTGAATAGAACAGAACGTAGCATTAACTGGACTCACTGACTGCAAGTGCATGCATGTAGCCACAGCTCAGATTCTTTCAGAGAGCCAACAAGGGCTGGTAAAGATTTGCGTAGCATGCACCCTTTAGAGTGTAAGCTCACTGGCTATCTAGCAGGCCCATTGTATTTATATAAAAAAAAACAAAAAAAAAACAACAATGTCTAGATCATTGTATTGGTCTGTGAATATTGTACTGTCCCCCACACCCTGCCATTTGGGCATAGCTGTGGAATGTGTTGGTGCTTTATAAATACTGGTAATAATACACCTTACAAATATTTAAATGGTCAAAGGAGGAAGCATATACCGTATATACTCGAGTATAAGCACACCCGAATATAAGCAGAGGCCCCTAATTTTACCACAAAAAACTGGGAAAACTTATTGACTCGAGTATAAGCCTAGGGTGAGAAATTCAGCAGCTAATGGTAAATTTCTAAATAAAATTAGATCCCAATAAAATTACATTAATTGAATATTTATTTACAGTGTGTGTATATAATGAATGCAGAGTGTGTGTGTGTGTATATAATGAATGCAGAGTGTGTGTGTGTATATAATGAATGCAGAGAGTGTATTTTTGTGTGTATATAATGAATGCAGTGTGTATATAATGCAGTGTGTTTGTGTGAATGTAGTGTGTGTAAACTGAGTGAGGGGGGGCATTTTTATTTTAATATTATTTTATATTCTATTATTATTCTATTATTTTCTTAATATTTGTATTTTATTCTATTATTATTCTATTATTTTAATATATTATTTTAATATTATATATTCTATTATATTATTTTAATATTCTATTTTATTAATATTTTAATACTTGTATTTTTTTTTATAGATCATTGTCCCCCCTCCCGGCTTGTTGCCTGGCCAGGGAGGGGGGCTATGTGAATCCCTGGTGGTCCAGTGGCATTGGCAGATCAGTGGGGGGGGGGGGGCTGACAGCAAGCTCTTACTTACCTTCCTGCAGCTCCGGTCAGCTCTGTTTACAGTGTAAGTCTCGTGAGACCCGCGACTTACACTGTGAGCAGAACGGAGCTGCACGGAGGGAGAAAGGAGCTGACAGGAGCTGCAGGAAGGTAAGTAAGAGCTCGCTGTCAGCCCCCAACAGGACCGCCGGGCTTGTAATGAGCCCGGCGGTCCTGGTCTGTATTGTGGCAATGTAAATTGCCACAATTCAGACCTTGACTCGAGTATAAGCCGAGTGGGGGTTTTTCAGCACACAAAATGTGCTGAAAAACTCGGCTTATACTCTAGTATATATGGTATTTTCCTCTGACAAGAGGATGGGCATTACAACAGAAGCAGCAATGTGCAGAGATACTAATGAGATCCTACGCACCACAATATGTTCAATGAAAATACATGGTGAGGCCCTTTAAAACAGAAGAACCTGAAAAACAAGCTCTAACCAGACGTGCCCCAATTTGTTTGAATATTTTACTATATATCACCGTTGTATTCATGCGTTTATATGATACAGTAAAGCATAACATTAAATATTTTTCCCATTGTAGCCACTTCACTAGATAAAACAAACCCTACACTGAATAAAATCTGAACCACAATCACATTTGAGCTATTTTGAAGAAGATCACAGCTCATGGGAAAAATGGTTTGTCTCACCAATGCCTAGCAGCTTACAAAGCATTTGTTTAAAGGAGCAGGATAGGACTTGACATACTTAAAACTGAAGTAGTAATCTGTAACAAACAAGCCCAGATTATTTATATAAAGATATATTTTAACACAATTACTAACACCAACACATTACTGTGAGAATTCCCTAAAGCTCTAATACATGCAAACTAAACACTCTGGCCAAACACTACACTAAAACAGGCTTAAAGATTGGTTTTAGGGAAGTATAAAAATGCAATTATACACAAAAAAAATAAATGAAAACCTAATGTGTGGTGTCAGTTTGCCATAACAGGTGCAATGTCGGAAGGATCCAATACTAGTGGAATGAAATTAACATACATATTTTTAGCAGAACTTATCCATTATACAAGATAGATCCAGCAGGTTTAAAGTGGTACGGTCTACCAGCCAAAGATAGAATCTTCATGAAATACTTATTTTGATTGTGTTAGAATTTTACTGAAATTCCAACACAGTCAAGAGATACACAGAGAAAGCAGGGACTAAGGGTGGACGCTAAGTGTCAATCCCAACAGCCGTCACCAGGGGATGGCTACAGGGAACGCTGCAATGCTGTAGAGCAGTGACATTGGCAAGACCTGCCAGATCAAGATTGCTGCATCTGCGAGGGACAGGTTGGTGACAGCTGTAGCTCCGCCAATTGTCAAATTGTTAATTTTCAGCTTTACCAGGAGACAAAAAGACTGTCTTATATCCTGACTGCATTGGAATTTCAGTGAAATGAAATGGCAGATTACAAAAACATTAACTGTACACGAAAAATAACTTGCATGGATACCAATAAATTTGTAAACACCCCCCATCAATTTATGTGAAGTCTATTCAAAATACATGAACTCATTTTATTTAATAGTACTCAAACAGCAGCTTTACAAATTTAGCAATCAATCAAGGTTATGATTAAGTACATGAATAAAACGATTAGCTATAGTTATAAAATAAGTAGAGCGCCTGTGCATGGGCTTAGGGCCTGGTGAAAGTCTCAGTTATTTATTAAAATGAAATATTTAGTGGCCAGCTCTCTATACTTTTTATGGTAATTATAAAAGAAAGCGTGTTTGTTTTGGGATATACATTTTCAATTATTGGCAATCACACAGATCCATAAAGATCACTCCAATCAAGTCAGTAGCAAGGTTTTCATAGAAATGTCCCAAATTAGCCAAACCAGTTGTTCCTCATTACACCAATGCTGTTCAACTGACTTTATAAAAAAAAATATATATATATAATGGCCTGATTAAAATATTGCCTGAAATGCTATTTTAATTAATTGCATAACTGACTTACAGGCAACCAGTTTATAGTCTCCACACTCTGCATTAATGTGTTGGTCAACAGTGCAGCACACTTCCATCGATGGCCAACGCTTACAGGGTGCAATAGATAGTACATGTCTAGTAAAGAACTGATTTATTTTGTTTCTCCCAGTTTGCTCTTTGTTTATACCTATGTACCCTTCCAGTTTATAAATACAATTATTTTAAAACAAAACCAAAAATAATGCACATGTTAATATATTTAAGCAAGGTGGTTCAAGAAAAAAAAAAAAAAAGCATTTTTTTTTTTTTTTTACAAAATTACCTTTCTTTGTGCAGCTGGGCTACTAAGTACACTTTTCCACAACCTCTCTTGTTTGTGCTGACCAATTAAAAGCTTCTTATATAAAAGCATTGTAGATATAGGGAACATAATGTAGTATATTATAAACACTTTTTCAAATAATACAATATGGTTCTGTTACAAAGAGTTCCACATCTGCCACCTTTTCTTCAGTCTTTTGTGTGTGAACCTTTCTTATCTCACACAGGAGGCTGCTGGATCAACCAACTCTCTTGCAAGTCCTAAAGTAAACAATATGTTTTAGCTGCTTGACAACTGAGCAGGGAGTTAAAGATTCCAGCCCCCTACTCCATGAAAACCCTAAAGTAAACCTACTGCTGGAGCGGAGCTAAATATTTGATAACGCCCAAACAGATCTATGTATCTTAGAAGTGTGAAGCGAGGTTAGGTGATTAACGGTAAAGGGAGGTGTGACTAGGGCTGTAGAGATAAAGTAATTTTACGCAAGCAGCAAGACCGGATTATTTATTTATAAAATATTTTACCAGGAAAGATACATTGAGATTTCTATCGTTTTCAATTTGTCTTTAAACAGAAGCGGTTTTGGTGCAGTGGTCTTGTAATTTTAACCCTGCAGTGAAACACATTGCAGGGTTAAATTTACCTGCAGTGGATGTCTTCCTGATAACCATAAAAGGCACTTAATCCGCCAGAGAAAGTAAAACTCTGGAAATCAAATGCTGCAGATAGCAGTATTTGATTAGAAGAGCACAAAATTTACCGCACATGCTAATAGCCAATCTATTGCTTCTATATAAGAAATGGATTGGATCGGATCACAAAGACACCAGAAGGCATGCAGACATCTTCGAATGAGAAGCATGATGCTGCATAGTCCTGTGCTGAAAAAGAAGTAATATTTATCCAACTTTACATTTTTAAATGGAGATGGGGGAAAAGATTGTTATTTTTGGGACTATAGATTCCCTTCAAAAAACGAGAAGGCTTTATAGGAATCCAGACCTAGGCTATGCGAAAATAGAAGCTACTAAATGCTTGAACCCCAGGAGGCGTCAGAAATTCAGTAAATTCATACACTTTTAAAAAACATAACAGGATTTGCCATAAGGCAGATTTTAACAGTCTAAGATCTGCAAAGCAAGATCTGGAATAAATAAATCAATCTCACACAATATATCCAAGCAACATCGCCCCCATAGAACGTGGGTGTGACTGAGGAAATGGCACTCAAAGCCGTTCTGCTTCCCTTCCATGAACCCAAAGCATATCTGCCAGTTGTCTCTTCAAATACAACACACTTTCCCAAGTTGCAGATCTGTCGCATCTTACTTGAGAATACTTCTGAAAAACACTAATATACAAAGACTTTCCTATGAAGGATTAAAAAAACCTCTTGAATACCTGTGGTATTTCGAAAAATACACAGGTACCTCATGGAAACCCACCTTTTATTTCTTATGATATAATCTCTGAATTTTTCATATAGACAAACCCGGTGGACACTAAACGACAATGTAAATGTACTACTTGTGTCCAAATTGCATGTGTTTATGTATGTAGAAATTACCACCTGTCCATTAGCATGTATGTGAGAGTGTGGTTAGGACCACCTGTTGTGTATATATATATATATGGGAGATCATATGGCTTTATGTATGGGAGCATGTGGGCATGGCTGGGATGGAACCTGTCACGTTTATATTGGGACTAGTGCAGATGTGTTGAGAAGGGTGCAGTGGAGTATTTTGGTGTCATAAATACCAATATTAAAGGATATACAATTAATACTAGAAACTGAACAGAATTCCTACAACCATATACATGCGCCTTGAGGTCTTCCCTGACTAGGGAGTGAAGCAGGAAAGAGACCGTTTCCAAACACCGCCTGCCTGACCTAAGGTGCATGTATATGGCTGAAGGATCCGGTCATGTACTAAATTTAGGGATAGGGTTCTTTTTTTCCTGGTAGACAGCCACTAGAGGCAAGCTTCACCTTGCAATGAAAACCTCGCAGTTTCTCTGAAACTCCAATCTTTTAAATTGTAGGTTCAAGGAACAGGGACACTGCACTGAGACCACTTCAATAAGTTGAAGTTGTGTGGGTGCCTATAGTGTCCCTTTAATGGTCGCTGTAAGAGACAAACGTAATTACTATCCACTGAATATCTTCAATGTTACAAACAAATTGATCATTCACTTCCTAAAAATTGTTTACAGGTCACTCATTTCTTCATATCTGTCACAAGCTCCCTAGGTGACCGCTTTGCAACTCTCATGCGAGTAAGCACAAACTACCGAGAGGAAGCTCAACACAAGGGCACTATGGGAGCTCAATTATCAGGACAGTACTAGATTACAGAGGAATTCTTAAATGGTGTGGTGAGGTGGAATTCTAGTAACAGAAAACATTACATTGCAACATAATAAACTCAGCACATCAACCTTAAAGGGTGGGATCACAATATCCGCTAAAGGCAAAGTAACCAACATATTGTGCTGGTTTACTCTTCCACAATTTCTTAGAATAAAAATTAAACTTATAGAGTTTCAAAAAAATAAATAAAAAATTTTTTCTAGAGAAACAGGCAAGTTAATCATTGTTACTAATGCTACTACTATAAGAGAACTTCTACAGCAAAGGTAATAGAATGGCAAACAAAGGATGCCGCACACCCTACACATCTTTAATAAATATTCCCAAACAAATTACTATTTTACTGATGTGCATTTATCCTTTTTTTATTAGCAGGTAACGCTCCTCACCCCTCCCCCCCCCCCACACAAGCAAGTGGATTTGCAAAAATAAGTCCAAAATGACCATGTTTAAAGGGACACTATAGTCACCTGAACAACTTTAGCTTAATGAAGCGGTTTTGATGTATAGAATATGCCCCTGCAGCCTCACTGCTCAATCCTCTGCCATTTAAGAGTTAAATCCCTTTGTTTATGAACCCTAGTCATGTGACTTGCACAGCCTTCCATAAACACTTCCTGTAAAGAGATCCCTATTTAGGCTTTCTTTATTGCAAGTTCTGTTAAATTAAGATTTTCTTATCCCCTGCTATGTTAATAGCTTGCTAGACACTGCAAGAGCCTCCTGTTTGTGATTAAAGTTCAATTTAGAGATTGAGATACAATTATTTAAGGTAAATTACATCTGTTTGAAAGTGAAACCAGTTTTTTTTTCATGCAGGCTCTGTCAATCATAGCCAGGGGAGGTGTGGCTAGGGCTGCATAAACAGAAACAGTGATTTAACTCCCAAATGACAGTGAATTGAGCAGTGAAATTGCAGGGGAATGATCTATACACTAAAACTGCTTTATTTAGCTAAAGTAATTTAGGTGACTATAGTGTTGCTTTAAAGAAAAGCCCACTGTAGTGGTTCTGGTACCAGAGGTGCTCTGGTGTCCCATCAGTGTAAGTTGTCAAGCCATATGTGAACAGTTTGACCGTTTACCTGGAGTCTACCTGTTAACTTCTCCTCTGGAGCTTGAAAACTCAGCAAGGAAATCCCATTAGCGCCACTGAGCTAAGTTCTGGAGTGCAGGGCAGACGTACTGGCTGGTAGCATCAAATATCTCTCCAAGCCAATGAGCTAATCCCTGCACCATCATGCTAGCCCAGTGCAGAGAACTTTGGGTTGTAGAGGATGAGGCAACTAGTGGAGCCCAGTTGATAAACTGCTGGAAACTAGTGGTTATAGTGCTAGAAGTGTTCTTTTTCAATAAACCTTGATGGACTATCTCCAATACATATTAAGCACCAAGTCTGAGAATCCTTATTACTCTTCAACTTCAATAGTACAAAAGTATATAATGAAAGGTACAGTCAAGAGTTTTATTTTTTTTTTTAATTATTTTTTTCTTTTAACTATCAAATGAATCACATGAGATTCTGATCAATTTCCATTAATTTTAGGTTACAAGAAATATTTCTGAGAAAAACAACCTATATAAGCTCAGGCACAACCCCTTATGTTGATGTCAGCGCCCAATCCTGTCAAACAGGTTTTTATGCAGTAAGCGTGATGAAAAGGGTGCCATTTATGTTTAACTATACACCTCACCATAGGGGAGAATGCATACAGAGCACTTACATATGCTTCTGCACACATGGCCACTCAAGTTCAAGTAAAGCTGTACAAATTTGAGAATAATGTTTTGTGTACGAGTCTTTCCAGAAATCCTACTGCCACTAACATGACTTTGGGCATTTTCAGAGTAAACTTTATTCGCAATCACACAATTTAAAAAAAAATTCTGACAAAATACTTAGCTTAAGAAAAAAAAACTACTTTTGATATTTATAATGAAGAAAAAATAGATTGAATATAAAAAAAAAAAAAAAAGAAAAGAAAAAATGTGCCAGTTGCTTTTTGCATATTCAGCACAAGCTTTTAAAATTGACTGCACTTAATTGTTTCCAGCTAAATGTAAGCTTTTAAGATCTCATGTTACATTCGCCATCTCCAGCCCCCTGGTACTACTGAATCCAACAACAAACCTGCAAAGCTTTTCATACAGATAATCAGGCCAGATCTGTCAAACTGATATAAAAATATCAAATGGCAAAATATAACTTTTCAAAAAAAACAACCCCGAACCTCAGAAACAAAAAATAATATGCAAGTAACTAGCTTTGTGTGAAAACAAACAGAAAATTATTAGGTCAGTGATGGCTAACCATGCCATTGCCGAGGCGGTGAATTACATTCCCCAGGATGCCTCTCCTGCCTTTAGGTGAGCATCACAGGAAACAGTTAAACATCTACAGTTCTAAACCTAGTGATTACTAATCTGAGCATTTCCTTTGGGTTATAAAAGTTAGACTGAACTAGAGAGTGAAAGTGTGAAAACAAACACCACAAAAGCCAAAATTATGACCACTGGTGAAAGGAATACAATAAGAATATAAAAACAAAAACAAACCATGCAACAAAAGCTAAAAACCACACTGAGCTGGTACTTAGGGAAGTAGACTCAAGAAAGTGGAAGTTTTGGTTGCAATTCTAAAACCACTAAATTACACACAGAAATTACTCAATATTAGCAAATGAACACATCAAATCTCTCCCTTTCAAAAGCTTTAATCCGCATATTGAACAGAGTCACTGACACATGCTTTAAATGAGAAGCATTTCTAAAAGGACAGATTAAAAGTTGGAATAGCATGCGCACTAGTCAGTATAGCCACTTGCGTGCATTTTAACTCCCTCAGTATCAAAAAGAGCAAAGTAATTGCCAACTGTTACCTAATGTATACATTGGAACATTAATTTTGGAAATTGCAGGAGACTGCTTTCTCTGCTTGGTAAACAATTTGTAGAACAGCTTTTAACCTTGGAGGGTTATTCACTAAACCAAGAACGGAGTTGGGGTTTGCAAATTTTAGGTCACACACTACTTCATCATTTGGCACAGAAGGGAAGGGTAGGCAAGCAGAGCCCCATTGCATGACATCATACTTCTGAATGTGCGATCACTATGCTGGACCGAATACTATGCATTGTGAACACCTTCCTGTCACAACTCGTTTCATCTTGGGAGTAATTTATTGTCACACATGTCAAGTTTTATCTTACAATGAACCTTTTTCAAGCCTTGAGAAAATCTCATGTTCTGGAATTCAAAAAAAAATTACTTGTGACAAAAATTATACGAAGATAAAACCTGGGTGCCTGGCCATCTGTATTTAACTTGACACTGGGCTTGGCAGCCATGGACTGTGGCATTGGACTCTTCAGTGGTGTGTGCCATCTCCAACTTTATAAAGCTAAAGTAAGGAACAGATGTGAAGTTTGTAATTTAACGAAACATAAAATAATGTGCATGATATAGTATATGCTCATCCTACCAAAAGTCTCTAACAGTAAAAGTCTCTAACAGTAAAGGATTTCCTTACCAAAGGGAATGTTTAATTAAACACTGGTACAGCATTACAGCTAAATTATTTCACATATTAGTGGTCCATAGGCTAGCTAGTACAGCTAGTAGCAGTATTTATATAGCGCCAACATATTCCAAAGTGCTTTAAAATTAGAGAAAGGAGTGAGGAAGAGCTTACAATCTATGGAACACTATAGGGTCAGAGACATAAACATGTATTCCTTAAAGTGTTAAAACCACCATCTAGTTTCCCTGGCCGCCCCTTACACCCCTAAATATAGCAAAATCTTACTTTTGCTCAAGTCTGCAGCTGCTGACTCTGTCCCTGGTTTGTTTGCTTGGCTGACGCCATTGGAAGTGTTGTTCCGGGCCAGTCACAATGCTTTCCTATAGGATTGGCTAAGACTGTCAAGGAGGCATATCAGGGGCAGAGACAAACACCATCTAATCAGAGATGCATTGAATTAATGCATCTCTACAAGTCAAGTTCAGTGTCTCCATGCAGAGGGTGGAGACACTGAATAGCAGTGCTGCACTGCCCCAGGAAGCACCTCTAGTAGCCATATGAGGAGGGGCCAGAAGAGTTATCCCTCGGCTGTAATGTAAACACTGCATTTTCTCTGAAAAGACTGTTTAATGCAAAAAGCTTGAAAGGAATGATTATACTCACCAGAACAAATACAATCAGCTGTAGTTCTATGACTATAGTGTCCCTTTAATTTACGTTTTTGATTTGAGTTTCCTTGCACAGACTTCTGACGTGCAGAAAGTAAAATTTGAAGGCTTGCTTTCTTATTTTGTCTACTATCAACCACACTACCCCCACAAAATAAATACGCGAGGGTCCCTTCCCCCCAGTCTATCCAGAGTTGCCCAATGTATTCCAGCATTCCTTGAAAGCATGCTTATTTAGAAGGACAGTGAGAATCAAATTTCCTTGTAAGCTTATTAAGAAAGCCGGCTAAATGAACAATTTGTATACTAAGCCATGCACCTGCATTAAAAGTTGTAATGGTGATGAGCTGTTAAGAAGAGTACAGTTATTACTAGACCCTTGTTATGAAGAATTACTACATTTTTAATATACAAGTACATAATGTGCACATGTCATTTTCACAATTTAATGTCTAAATATTGCATTGCTCAATACCATAAACACCATCCAAGAAGTGTAAAAGGTGTTCAAAATTAATTTCACATTTTAGGCTAAACAGCCTTTAATGCTGTCCTGAAATTTGGCCATAAAATTTTAAAATCATGACAATTCATATTTTGGTGTATAAACCTGTTCGAAATCCAATTTTATTAACTTGTAGATCAGCAGCATTTAATTGCTAATATAAATTTAATCTAAAACTACTTTTAAAATACAAGAAAAAAAACACAAAAAAAAAAAACCTACTGCCTGCAAGGTTGAAAGCTTTGATAATGTTTTAACAAATCTTTCATAAATTACTTGATCAATATTTTGGCACAAACTAACGGAATACGTGACACCACATAAGAGCAACAGTAAAAGCAAGAATTTTATGTCATTTAAAATAGGTGAAATTATGCCCATTACAGTTTCAGTAATTACCAATTACCTTTCTTTTTAAAGGAACATTAGTGTTAGTTATATAAAACTGCATTCCTAACACTAACACCCCCATCCAGCCCCACCGGCACTGAAAGAGTTAAGTAACCATTTCTTTCACTCACCTTATTCTAGCGCTGAAGTCCCTTTGCACGGACTTCATTTCCACCTTCTTGAAACTCAGTGTTGAGGAGGAACCTAATGGGCATTAGGCCTTCCCAACAGGAAAGCATTGAATCAATACTATCCTGTGGGGATTTTGAGTACTCTGGAAGTACTCATGTAAAGCAGGAAGCACCACTAGGGGCAGTCTTAACCCTGTAATATAAACATTGCAGTTTCTCTGAAACTGCAGTGTATTAGATTGCAAGGTTAAAGGGACAGCGACACTGCAAACCGACCACTTCAAAGAGATGGAGTGTTCTGGGAGCCCTTAGTGTTCTTTAAAGCTACCTGGCTAACTGTATTAAAACCTGTAAATTCCCATTCAACTCTAGTAAGAATAACGTACATGTTCAGACTACATTTCATGAATACCTGCTCCTAGACTTCAATAAGAGCAATAAGCAGGAAGATTATAACACAGGGGTCGAAATATTTTAGAATGTTGGTGCTTGATTTTTATCAGAAGAATCCAAATAGTTTTACATGAACTGAAAGATTAGATGTATGCTAATATTTATGAGATGCAACAAGCAACAACCTGACTCCTGACGGTGATCAAGGCCTATTGCATCAGAAAGTCAACATCAATGAGGTTTGCCATAAATTCTATACAGATAATTGCTTAGGTCAGTACTACCATGAAATTTCTGACCCTTGACCAAAAACTGCTTAACCATTTTAAAAAGGCTGGAATTATAGATCTATTATACAGCGTTTTCACAACTCCCAGGAGCCAGGGCTCCAAAAAACAACAAAGTTAGAGCTAATTTTGTTTGGAGTTATTTCACATAGAACCTTCCTCTCTTTCAAATGAAAATAACATATTTCCAACCATCACTAAGAAAAGTTTAAAAAAAAAAAAAAAAAAAGTAGGATATCAGCTTTTATGTTTTCATATAATGTCTTGCAATTGGAAATATTGATTGTGAATCAGATACTAATTAGTTTTAAACAAGACTATAAAAGACCTAGATAAATATGTATGAGCATACTGAAAGTTCTGTGGGATTTAGCAGTGTGGTTGTGTATCTTGACAAGATAAAAAATACTAAACAGGAAAAATTAACTGGAGATATAAGTTTTCCAAAGCTGAAAACAGCCACCCTACATTATGCAAAACATGTTACAAATTGTCATTAATAGTCTTTTTTGCAACTGAACACACTGTTGTCATTTAGAAGATCGTTTTTTGGCAAATTATAAAACAGAACTCAATACAACTATGGTTTAGGTAAAAACACTACACTTAGTTGAAGTCTGCAAGCACGTTCCGTATACTGATCAAGTGCCTGTGCTAGGCATTATGGGATTCTGTATACAACTTGTGGAACCTTGGAAATGTGCCACCTTTGTAACTATTACTTTTGTGATTTAGCTCTCTTAGGTTTATGACAGATCAATAACTTTGCACATTGTAGACAACATTCACTGAATTTATATTTGCCATCAATTTGGCTAGTATATGATACACATTAGGTGCAATGCATTTTGTTATCTGAAACTAATCAATAGTAAGCAATGTGACTAATTTATTTTCACAATCTTCTTAAAACAAGTCACAATGACTAGTAATAAAATACAAAACAGTTATTTGAAACTTATTTTGATGCGATTAGAATATAATTTTCAGCAAAGAAGGCCAACAATCCTGAGATGATAAAGTGAAAAAAAAATCTAATATAAATATCGAAAGTGCAGGTTTCTATGAAATTAACATTCACAAACAAAACAAATGTTTAATTTTCCACAGTGTTATAAAAATAGAACACAAGACAAAACTAATTGCATGCATGCACACACACATTCCCATTCCCTCCTCCCATGTACACACCACTTAATGTAACTGAAAAATAGAAAACTGCTGGACCACACAGACATCAAAAAATTTTTTTAAAGGTGGGGTGTGGGGGTGTCATTTTTGACCAACTTTGGCCTGATTTTAACAACAATGCCTTCCTATGATTGGCAGGGCTGCTAAGAACAAGTGAATAGAAGAAAGACTGCAATTCCTGGACTGTTTGTATTACAAAAGCACCAATGGGCGACAACCAGGAAACAGCAGCAATAAAACCGCCTATACAGAAACTTTTGATCAATTTGTGTATTTAAACAGAGTAAAAGTTAAATATTTATACAATACACATTTAGCGTGTCTTCGTACATAAACACATGGCTAGCCTTGGCATTGCAGATGTGTGTAGCCTACACTTCACACGATGCTCAGCAATTTGCTTGTGCCAAGGTTAGTATTATTACTATTTGCTTGTTTTCCCCCCCCCACCCAATAACGGTAATTTTCTCTTTATAAATTAGGATAAAACCAGGGACTACTTTTTCTCATGTAGAGCATGACATTTGGAAATGGGCAACGCTTAAGCAAGATTCCTTTTCAGTTGACAAGGTAAATTTACCCACAATTCATCAAAGAATCCCACAGAAGGGCATCATAGAGGGGAACAAAATGGTGGTACCTAATTATTGCCATCCAACTCAAGGAAGGTAGTATAAAATAAAGATAAATGGGGTAGTAAAAGTAGTAAGATGCACACGGAAATGAGAACTGGGGGCGGGGGGAGAGACAAAACCTTGGTTGCTCTTTTTCACAAATTATTTATGCTAACTAATGATGAAATGTACTATTTTGTATAGTTGACAAGAACAAGGCTGGGGGGGAGTTACAAAAACAAAACATAAGTTTATGCATGTTACTCAATTCCTCTAATAGAACAGAACACAACATCCTGTAAAAGTAGCTTATGCAACAAAATATCACATCTAAAAGTTTTTCAAGCCTAAACTGCATTTGAACACACAGTGGGTATACGTGCAACTCTTCAATGCAGGTTTAATTAAGGTCTTAAAAAAAAAACAAAAAAACCTGCATCAAAATGTAATTTTTGCTTTACGATTGAAAAATGGTTCAGCCTTGATCTAGTTTATCTTTGGCAGATATTGCAATTTCACAGCATTAACTATCCACAAAAAATCAATACCTATACAGACACGGGACTCACTCTCTCTCTTTTTTTAATAACCACAAGGAAACTGATCCATTCAGCAGAGGCCTTTAAGATTTGAAAGCTTTGTGAATACAGCTGAACGTCTGTCTTTAGTGCACAATACCAGACCAACCCATGAGTAACTCAAGAGTGAAATCAAATCTGAAAGGATTGGTGAGTGCCCCTATCCACAGCATAGTCACATTGCACCAGTGAAGCAGAACACCTCCACTGACTGCAAGGGACAGATAAATCAGACATTGAGCATTCAGACTTCTTCTGTTCACAAACAACTCTGCCTTTCAGACACACAACTAGACAGCTTTTCCAGATCTCAACACACCATTTGTTAGTTGGCTTAGAAGTCTGACAGGCTGAAAGAACACAATGAGATGGAGGAGGGGAATTAAATCAATGCAGCTTGCTGTCCAGCCATGTTGATAAGAAGGAACTCAACATAGGAGCAAATACATTAAGACAGCTTAGGAAACTAATCAGGATAACAGAGAGGGAATACAGGTGACCGAGAGTGAATGCCAGCACCCAAATAAATAAACTTTACAAATTAAGAGCAATCATTGCACATCGGGTTAAAATAGCTGGGTCATCTTGGCAAGCAGATAATGCTCAAATTTAGGTTGTTGACACTTATATCACAGGATCAACCAAGGTTGAAACCCAAAGATTCATGCAAACTGAAGTGATATTTAAAGAATACAACAGATGTAGCCAACAGATAGCCTCTAGCTGTAATAGAACTACAAGTCCAATGATGCTTTGCCAACATGAAAGCCTGTTGTATACACTCATACACAAATCACTTTTGCGAAAAACAAAAGCAATAAACTTGTCATCAAAAGATTTTGTAGTATATATGTGCCTATATCCAGCCACCTGCTAGAACTACTTAGAACAAGATACTAAATATAAAGAACATGTATACGATAAATCCGTACAGCTGTTTATAGCGTGCATATATGTTGAATATTTCAAGCATTCACCAGCTAGCTGTACTGTATGCGCATATTACTTAAACACTTGCAAAATATTTAATGTGTACTAAATTATAGACCTAAAAAAAAAAAACAGGCCATGACTTATTTCTGGCAAGCACATAAAGGTATTATCTGGCCATGTGATTTGCAACAGCAGCCAATTAGTTAATGTCCATTCCAGAATTGCCATACTAGATTAGAGCACATCTGGGTTACTGGTAAAAACCTATGATTTAATTTATCTTGCATCCAACAAGCAAACCATTACCATGGAGTATAATCAATAAATTTCAAATTAAATCGGAATGGCAAAACTCAGACATGAATCCCCAAGCTGTGACTATAAATTCTTTTTGCCTGAATTTTTCATTCAAGTTTCAATTTGCTAAAAATAAGAACTTACTGAATAAACATTCTGCTATTTTCAAATAACGCTTCGAAAAGACAGACAGTTGTCATCTCCATTACTTTTCATACTGTTGGCGTTGGCAAGCATTAAACTGGGAATTGCAAATGTTATCACAAAACTACGTGAAATCGAAAAATCTTCAAACTGAGTTATTTTAGTCTAAATCCTTGTCACTTCACAATTCATGATTTGTTTAAGAACACTATGGGATGTATTCACTGAACACTCAATTGTAGATCAAATTGCTCAATTCTGTTATTTTGGGGAAAGAAAAATAATCTCCCACTAGACTACTTCCCAAGCGTGGCTATTTTACCAGAACATTTTAAAGTTAGCTTCCCTACAATTCTGTGTTTAGTGCATACAAACCTGTGTTGCCACTAGATTTCGGAACCCAAAAAAATTAGCATGTTACACTAGTGGTTAGAAAAAATAAAAAAAAACAGAATAAGTTACAACCATCATATAAAAACATCTTTTAAAAAAAGAAATGGCAAGGAAAAACAAAAACCATACCAAAAAAATATATTCCCCAGCATGTATGTTCTTGCAGTCAATAATATATCTTTTTATATCTGATTTTTTTTTCCATTTTTTTGGCACTCTACCAAAAGTGTCAGCATGTGCAAGCATTTCTTACATTCTTACCTGAAGAACAGGAGATAAGGAAGACTGCAAAAGCCAGCTTAGTAGCAGTTCCCATTTTTTAAGTTTATTTATTTTTGTTTTTTTACAGCCAAGGAGACAATCCAGGAGAGAGAGACAGGGGTGCAGCCTTCAGATCCAACAGCCTTTTAAATATTTTTTTTCCTTCTTTCTTTAATTCTCCCCCTTCCTCAATGAAGCCAGTCCAAATAATGCTGTATACAGGGGGTGGGGGAGTATATAGAGTATATTATATTATATATATACACAAACACACACACTACAAAGTCCACGCTGAGTGTGCTGGAGGGGAGATGCCCCCTGAGTCAGTGGGAGTTATTTTAAAGCACGTGGATTAGCACTGAGTACTTTAATACCCCCCCCATGCCGCCCCCCACCACCCCTGTCACTCAGAGCCCACCATAAGCACCGTGTGGGGGCAGCTCGGGCCAATGGCAATCTCGGGGTGCCAGCCCCCCGCAGTGACCGGCTCAGGCAGCCAGGCAGGTCGGTCAGACAGGTAGGTCGGTCAGGTAGGTGTGCAGTGGTGGTGGGGGGGTTACCGCAGGGCCCGGCTCCAGCTGGGGCCCCTCCTGCCCCGGGGGGTCATGGGTAACGCGGGGCCTGGCGGCGGCTGGGACTCTGCCCGTTACTGCTGTCCGGTGAGGGGGCTCCGGTCTCCGCCTGCTGCTGCTGGGAGCGGGCGGGCGCGGTCACTCGGTGCCTGCCGCGAGCCTGCTGCGCTCTCCGAAGCCGGCCCGCTGTGCTCTGTACGGCCGAGCCGCTGTGCGCTGGGTGCGAGCGTCCGCGTCGTCCTCCTCTCCGTCCTCCTCTTCCCAGGGAATCTCATCGCTTCCCATTCAGCCGCACATTCCCAGCCAAGATGGCGGCCCCGGACCGATTGTTTTTGTTTTCTCGCCTCCCTCCTCCGCGACGACAGAGGGGGCGGCCCCCAGCGGCGCTGGCGCCTAACTGGCACGACGGGTAGCCAATCGGATGCGAGGGTGGGCGGGGTTTGGGCTCGCTGGCCAATGAGAAGGCTTAGGTTGGAAGGTGGGTTTCCGGAAAGGGTGTGGAAGTGGCTCGGAGTGACGCGCTTTAGGGGCGGGGCTTGGCGCTGAGGGAGGGGGTTTAAGAGAGATTGTAGCAGAAGAAGGCGGGGAGAGCGTGCTGTGGGCACTGACAGAGTCAGACAGCTCCCTCACTGCTATGTGTTTACACAGGACAGCTATATTAAATCCATTCACTGAATAAAGGCTATAGCCACCTTTACTGCCAAGCACTGAGTGACTACTCTCCACAAGGGCTACTAATAGCCATACTGTGACCAACACAACTATACTGTGACCAAATAACCATAATGTCACCAAACAACCATAATGTCACCAAACAGCCATAATGTGACCAAACAGCCATGTCACCAACCATAATGTCACCAAACAGCCATACTGTGACCAACCATAATGTCACCAAACAGCCATACTGTGACCAACCATAATGTCACCAAACAACCATGTCACCAAAGAGCCATAATGTCACCAAACAACCATAATGTCACCAACCATGTCACCAAACAGCGATACTGTCACCAAACAGCCATAATGTTACCAAAGAGCCATAATGTCACCAACCATGTCACCAAACAGCGTTATTGTCACCAACCATAATGTGACCAAACAGCCATAATGTCACCAAATAAAGCCATAATGTCACCAACCATAATGTCACCAAACAGCCATGTCACCAAACAGCCATAATGTGACCAAACAGCCATAATGTGACCAAACAACAGCCATAATGTGACCAAACAGTCATAATGTGACCAAACAGCCATAATGTCACCAAACAACCATAATGTGACCAAACAGCCATAATGTGACCAAACAACAGCCATAATGTGACCAAACAGACATATCACCAAACAGCCATAATGTGACCAAACAACCATAATGTCGCCAACCATAATTTCACCAAACAGCCATAATGTCACCAAATAACAGCCATAATGTGACCAAACAGCCATAATGTCACCAAACAGCCATAATGTGACCAAACAGACATAATGTCACCAAACAACAGCCATAATGTGACCAAACAGACATATCACCAAACAGCCATAATGTGACCAAACAGACATATCACCAAACAGCCATAATGTCACCAAACAACAGACATATCACCAAACAGCCATAATGTGACCAAACAGCCATAATGTCACCAGCCATTATGTGACCAAACAGCCATAATGTCACCAAACAAGTGTTTTGTGAAAAGCATAACTGTACAGTCACTTTATACTGTGCTTGTTACAAGGGCCTATTTATATCTGAGGCCCAGTGTTTATTGAATCTTTTCAGCTATGTATTGATTTAAGTGTTTTTTTGAAAATAAAAGTAAGTCTCTTACAATAATGCAGCCATAGGGTGAAAGTAATCCAACAAAGTGTGTTCAGTTTTTTCGAAGGACTAATAGTTATAGGGCGTTTATATTGTAAATTGGGGATATGGGTTTAAATCAGGGTTGGATTAACCCTCTAAGTGCGTGGTTGTTTTAATTGTGTGCATGCCTACTAAACTGGGATTTTTAAGTGTTTTTTTAAGGCCAGATTTGCCGAAATGAAAGTATAGCTTACTTATAGAATTTTTCAGGTTTGATTACTTTGACCTAAAATTTGAAAATAACTTTCATTTTTTACTTCAGTGAATAACCCTTTTAAAAAAGGATGCTGCAAATATGTGATTTCAGCAGCTGATCAGAGTCTATGATTTGTTCAGTAGCTTCCAGGGTACCACCTGGTAACAAATTAAAAATTGTTCTTTGAACTCTCTGAACATGCTCTGTGCTTCAGATACCAAACAAATCCTTTATTTGTTGTTCATTTCAAGGACAGCTCAAGAAAACTCTAGTGTAAAAATCTATTTAATACTAATACGTTTTAAAAAAAATGTGATTGTATAAAACACAAAAAGTATGATAACTTAACCCATCAGAGAGTGCTCTCATGAAGCACATCGCTGATTTCTAATAAAAATAGAAAATTCTAAATCAGTGGCAGGCAGTACAAAATTAACAATCACTATTATAATATGTCAAAAGATAATGTAGGCATATTGCATTCTGTAAATCTCTTAATTTCTCAAAAGTACTCTAACAAATTATTATATCCCATATCTTATTGAAAGGGCATTACAGATTTTATAGATTTTCTCATGTGGACAGGTATAGATGTGCTCACTAGTGCACATCTATAGATGTGCTCGCTAGTTTGTCTACGAAGGTACCTGTACACCAGGATTGGCTGAGAGGTAAAAGCCAATTCCTGTTTTCTTTCCTTATTACCAAGCAGTCACTGGGGTAATATCAGATTCTCTCGGAAATTCATTAAAAAAAAAAAAAGGGGGAACTTCGAAAGTGGCCATTTTTAGGCATATTTTAGTGAAAAAAAAACAAATTTTAAAGGCACATTTCAAGGTGTTTACAGGAAGTGCATAAATTTAAAAGGAAATATATACAGAAAATATTTTGAAATAGTTCCCCCTGGGAAATTTACTGTGCAAAATATGTGAAGCATCTAGTCATTTGTTATGCGTTTATTTATTAAGACTTTTTTTAACCAGGAGAAAATATTTAGATTTCTCTTGTTTTTAAAAGATTAACTCAGTTGCAATCACTATACATTTTAAATATACAAAACAAATAGTAACTTCTGGTAGCCATTACAGGTTTAGTTAGATTGTAGATACGGAGAAGCAGATCTGAATGAGTTTTCTGTAGTACAGCTATGGGAGAATGTTGCTCAGTCAACTTCCTCACAGTAACACCGAATAGTGAGTAAAGAGATATACGTGGGCGGAAGGTTACATGAGGCGTGGGGAACTGGATTGAGTTTACTGATCAGGAAGAGTAGGAACTTTACACATAAGTTATGAAATAGTCGTGAAAGATGTACGCTATATCTAGACTTGAGCATTAGCCAGGTTAGCTTTTTAACACATTCAGGGTTGTTCGCTTAAGTGACATTTGCCATTAAATCAAAAATAATTAAAAGTGAATTTAAAATTTAAAAGGCCAAATTGGAAGCTTGGCTGACTTAGATAAATTTCCCAGTTCAGCTATTTTTGGTTTAAAAGGGAAACAGTCATGCCGTACTTTGTCCTCTGCTTCCCGGCCAAACTCTCCATACCGATGTGGGTGTTCCGATACAGTATCACACACCACTCCTCCTTAGCTCTTCTTTGATTTGCCCTGCTTGGGGGCACTTCCCAAACAGGGTAAAATGTCCTCCATGACACCGACACGCTGGGTTTGTTTCTGGCATGCCAGCGTCTGAATGTAGTGACGTCATGTCACACCGTTCCTATACTCCCTAATCATCATGCGCTGTGGTTGCTGTGGGTGGAGAACAGAGGGACCAGAAGGTCTCTTTTGCTCTTCCTGTCTCTCAATACCTCGGAATTGTGTGTCTGCCATCGATTTGAGAGTGAGATGGGAGGAAAAAAAACTATTTTTTTAAATAGGCTTTTCTCCAAATCTATATATTTGCTAGCAAAACCTCTAGCACAATGTATAGATGGAATCTCAAGCTCTTTAAAAATATATAGTTGTTATAGCAATGACAGTTTCACTTTGTTAAAACATTTGCTTTGTATTCACATTGAATTCATGACAGTCCTCACTAGTGAATAACCCTGAAATTAAGGGTGTTTTTTATAGTTGCATTGAAGTAAATAGCAGAACAACATGAAATGCACTTTGGTAATCATGTAATTAAATCTGGCATTAAGATGCCAACAATGAACATAAGTAAGTCCTGCCTTATTTAATGCATCTCCTGATAGTCTAACATGTTGTTATTATTATCTTATTATTTCGCATACCAACACTATACAGTGCCAGTATTATGCACTTCTTACAGTGTGTAAAAGACCACACAGGTATCTACAATGCTGTATTTACATCAGCCTTGATAAAAGTCAGCCTTTATAGATTTTTCCTCCAAGATTCCAGTAAATAGCTGCCCGTACTCTTCTGCGATTATGTGTTGGCTGAAGCAGAGAAAGAGCCAATGAGATCAGAGCTCTGGCATTCATCATAACAGCCTTAAAATAAAATAAAAAAATTCTCCAAGCACCATAACCACTACAGTGTGTTGTAGTGGTTATGATGGCAAGAGTGCCACGACACCCGCCATCGTAAGTAGTCAAACCATTTAACAGCCATTTTAGAATCTACTGATGCTCTCAGCCAATGATCTAAGCTAAGCAGCCCTGCAGGGTGCTGCTTATGAGAGCTAATGGAAGCTCCTGCTTAGGAGATTTTGGCTCTCCATCTGAAGAGGTTACTAGTGGCATCCAGAGGACCCCAGTTAAGTAATCAAACCATTCTAAAAGTGTTTGACTACGTACAATGTGGTGCCAGGGCAGAAGGTTAGATGGCAATACTACAATGCACTGCTGTTGTTATGGTGGTTGGAGTGATCCTTTAAATATGTTTTCTATATTATACTCTGAGGTGGTCTAACCTTCTGCTAATATACATTGTTGTATGTAAAGCACTGGAATATACTAAAATTTTGGCTGCAGCGCAGAATAGAGGCTTTGAGGTACTGAGGGAGGCTTAGCAAGACTAAAGAGGATAAGTATCTGCCTATATATTTTATAGTAATGCACCATAAATCTATATTTAATTCAGGATGTCTGTAGTGCCAGAAACACCTGCTGTTTCCCTAGGGAGCCTTAAAGGAAGAAAGCCTCCAAGTCTAAATACTTGATCTGCCAGGCATGTGAACATCCCCATGCCTGATACGTATAAAACGAAAATCTGCATCAACTGCACTAGAGACACTTCTGAAGGAGATTCAGAAATTAATCATTTTATATCCTGGCTTTAAGGTGCTGCACGGGAAACCTTTTAGAATGCAAGATCTTGCACCAGACAAACTAATGCACTTGCACAATATAAA